GAAGGCAATTGATTTGAGGTGGATTGATATGCCGTAGTTAATTGAGCCGAACTTCTGTAATCATCGATTGACGGTGGCATCTTCAGGTTCAAACTTTCCCTGTGGGGTCGTGTGGTGTAGCGGTAGAGTGCGCGACTCGGAACCTAGAGGTCCCGGGTTCGAGTCCTGACATGCCACCGATCTTCTGCCCTTAGGAAAGGCACTTAACACGACTTTCCTCACTTCGCTCAGGTGAAAATGAGTATTGTCCTATCATGTATTTGTCCCCTGTGTTGGTGGCGGCATTAATATGAGTTGAAAAAACTTGAGTGTGCCGTCACCACGTCTGGTGATTACATGTTGGAATAAAAAAAAAACTGTTCTCTGCAGCGTACTTCCTGGTGTTTGTGTCGTGTTTCCTGTCGGCGTTCTTCACGATGTTGTACGGGTTCGAGTACGGGCGGGAGAAGGCCGAGGCCTGGCTCCTCACCTTCCTCACATCCTTCTTCATCGACCTGCTCATCACGCAGCCCTTCAAGATCGTTCTACTGGCCGTCTTCTTCGCACTCATTCTCAGGGTAAGACCAACTGGTCTAGGAAACATATAAGTGTAGAGTAACGACAGAACGTACGGCTAGGAATCAAGAGGTCCCGAGTTTGAATCCTAACACTGATTTTATGCCCTTGGGAAAGGAATTTTACACGAATTTCCTCACTTCACTCAGGTGAAAATAAGTATGTCTGGTGTCCTATCATGCGTTTGTCTGAGTTGGTAGCGGCATACAAATAAGGCCACAGCAAGTAAATTGTATGGATGACATTCTCCGTAGACTTCAAATCTAATGCGATAGCGCGAAAAAAACAAGGGGGGGGGGGCAAAAAACAGGATTCCTACATTTTCAAATTTTGACATCATAAACCTTGTCAAACAAGGAATGATACCTATATTGTGCTGTTATCTGCCAACTATTACAACATCCACTTGTCACTGAAAAATGAAAGTGTTCAATCATTGTACAGAAGGTTTTGATTCAATGGGAATATCACATATAAAAGGAATGAAATCCATCACTGCATCAAAATGATGAGAAATCAGAGCCTTGCATTGTCCCTTCTCTTCCTATTTATCCACGTTCCGACATGGCAACAGGCATCTTTGCTCATTTTCGGCATGTTGACTACTGACTAGAGAGCAATAGAATTTTTTTCAATGCGCGCCCTGAAGTCATCCGTAACAATTACTTGGCGTGCACTAAGTTGAAAAAAAATTGAGTGTGCCGTCGCCATGTCTTGTATAAATGTTGGAATAGAAAAAAAAAAATATTACATTGAAGGAGTTCAATGCTCAGTTCTTTTGTTTTGTGTTTGATCCAATAGAAAGTAGATAGCGAGGATGAGGAGGTACCGGCTGGACAACTTGAAGAGGATGAGATATATATGGCTGCGGATATGGTACGTCATGCTTTTATCTATCATATACACCCCTTTGTTATGGGCTTCTAGGGTGTCATTTTTTTTCAGATTACAAATCGTTGGAAAGGAACTGCTTCATCATTTTGTTTTACTTTCCATAATTTCTCATTATGGTAAACTAGTAATAGTAGAGTCCTTTTTATAGAGTAAATTCAAGGCATTGTGTTTCAGTTAAAGGTGTTTGCTGCTAACGTTAAAAAAATGCTACGTTCAAAAGAAACTTTAGAATGTAAACTATATGGCAAAGTGAGAGCAGATCTTTATAATCTGATACAATCTATGTTCCCCTCTTCGTTCATCTAAGCGGTACAGATATTTTTTTTTATTTATAATGAACTAAGACATACCTTCTATATTGAAACATACCTGTTCTTCCTTTTTGCCATTACTAAGAAACGAGAAGAAACCGATTTTACTTAATTGTAACTACTTGACGATGTATATATGTAACGTTATCTGTATTCCATTCTTTTGTTGTGACCTTAACCCAGTGGGTATTTGTGTACAATATAGGTCTTCATTCATCATTATGTTTAAAAAAACATATTGTTTTTGCTCCATTTCTTCTTCTGTTCCAAACACTAACCTTTGACCTGGCCAATGGCCTCTTTTGTTGACGTGTGTCACCATAGTAACTGGTGTTGGGTAACATAATGTTGCAATCTCATAGTAGGCATTTAGACTCCTGTCACCATATACATGTATATGAATGTGTTTGAGTAAGAATTAACAGAGCAGACCATATCCGAAGATAAACATTATGCATTTGCTTTGCTAATGTTACTTTTCTAGTTCAATAAAATTTCTTCTTCGATAGGAAAACTGGAGCATGCCGACCACAACAGAAGCAAATCCGCCGACCCCTGAGGATCTAGCGGAGTCCCGCGCACAGCGGTTCCGGGAGTTGACGCTAAGAGCCGCGTTCAAAGAACTGCTCTTCTACCTGCTGTTCATCACCGTACTGGTTATTGTCGCCAACGGACCACGGGACTCCATGATGTATCATCAGACCAAGCACCTCCGCGACACATTTTTTATTGGAGGCGGGAACCATTCCCTGCAAAAGGTTGTTTTTTTTTTTTGTTTGTTTTTTTTGTGGGTAACGGTAGGGTGCTCGTCTCAGAATCAAGTGGTCCCGGGTTCGAACCCTGTCATGCCACTGATCTTGTGCCCTTTGGAAAGTCACTTTACACGACCTTTCTCTCTTAAATCAGATGAAAATTATTATTTTGTCCTATGTTGGTGGTGGCGTAAAAATTGAAAAGCTTGAGTGTGCCGTAACCATGTCGTACCATTACATGTTGGAATAAATAAAAGTTTGGTTCACTGATAACAGGTTCCAAGCATTCCCTGGGTAAATTCTTAGTTGACATGACCTGAAAAGAATGGCCTCATAGTTTGTACCAACACCGTTTTGAACAGATAATTTACAAAAGAATAAACAAACAGGAGACACTGCGTTGTAACCATCTACTTTAATTACATTATTAATGTGTCAAACACAACGTGACAAGTTTATGTCTTTCAACTCAAAACCTGCGCGCTTTCCAGTGTCACTCTTTCTTCTTCAAGTTGTTTCTTGGTAAATTGTACTAAGGGGAAGGCTGTTATTCCTTTCACTGGCACCTCTAAGATAGATGATATATAATGAAATGTATTTTCAAATAACGTAATTTGCATACTTTGCATGTGTTTTTTTCCCTTCTTACTGAAAACGAGTCTTACCATTTAAACGCAATTCGACTCCTGTCCGACACATGCACTTTTAACACATATTATGTTTCTTGTTTCTTTTTCCAGGCAACAACTTTTGAAAAATTTTGGAACTTTGTCGAGCTTGCGCTAGTTCCTGAAATAAGCTCCAAGACGTGGTACAACGGCATGGCTCTGCAGACAGACGGTTACCTGAGGGACTACCAGTCATTCATTGCTGGAACTGTGCGATTCCGCCAGCTTAGGGTCAAACAAGGCAAGTTTCCTCCTGTCGGTCCTTGTTTCAGATGTGTGTGTCCCGTTCTATTTGTCCTTCTGTCGGTCCTTGTTTCACATGTGTGTGTCCCGTTCTGTGTCCTTCTGTCGGTTATTGTTTTAGACATGTGTACCCCGATCTGTATCGTTCTGTCGGTCCTTGCTTCAGATGTGTGTGTCCCGTTCTGTGTCCTTCTGTCAGTCCCTGTTTCAGTTGTGTGTGCCCCGTTCTATGTGTCCTTCTGTCTGTCCTTGTTTCAAATGTGTGTGTCCCGTTCAAGGTGTCCTTTTGTCCGTCCTTGTTTCAGATGGGTGTCCCGTTCTATGTGCCCTTCTGTCGGTCGTTGCTTCATACGTTTGTCCCGTTTATGGTGTCCTTCTTTCCATACGTATATATTTGTGTGTGCCCCGTTCTGTGTTCCTTCTGTCGGTCCTTGGTTAAGACGTTTGTCCTGTTTTTGGTGCCCATCTTTCCGTCCTTGTTTCATATTTGTGTGTCTCGTTCTATGTCTTTCTGTGCGTACCTGTATCAAAAGTGTGTATTTCTTTCTACATATGTCATTGCACAGGTTACAATAAATTTGTGTGCATTTGCTTTCTCCAGATGAGCAATGCAAGATCCCAACACCGTTCCTAGGGATCATCGATAACTGCGATGAGGATTACGGCTACTTTGCGAACGACGACAGACATTACACCGAGGGTTGGGCAGGACCAGCAAATATAACAGAGGATCCGATAATCTATGAAAACTACACAGAAGAAGAACAGCCTTGGCTTTATCACTCACCAACGCTGTATGGTAAGTACATGTTCATGCCATACTTCTTTCTTTTAATTTAAAAGCATCCAATGCACCTGTAGGGCAAACCTGACTTTTTTAAAGCCAAGATTGTAGTCATTTATCTACATACTGAGTTAAAACCACACTATCCCAATGTTTATTGACTCTCATGGTGGAAACATTCCAAAAATTCAGACGGAAAATGGTTAGAGGAAGGGCCCTATGCTTATTTTTAGGGTACCACCCAAAAATAAAGGACTACTTTTGGGGCTTGTTTCTGCAGTTTTAGATGCCAAGTTGCAGTTTTTAAGTATGAAATGCTGACTCAAATGTGCTAATGTGAAGTATTATGTATCAATATTACAAAGATTGTCTTATCCAGTTTTGCTGCCCTGAAATCTGTGAGATTGCCTTACATTGAGAGGCAGTGTAGTCATGTCTGAATTCTTTTAAGGCAAAGGAGTGTTCAGAACGTAAACCTAATTTTTTTCCCTTTATGTAGATATTCCTACAAGCGGAAGATATGCAACGTACTATGGCGGAGGCTACATCGTGGAGCTGACCAACACCACGACTGCAGCCTTACTGTCTACCGTAGACTGGTTAGAATCTAGCGGTTGGATAGATCAACACACCCGGGCTGTCTTTGTACAGTTCACGATCTTCAACCCAAACACGAACCTGTTTTCTATCATGGAGCTGATGACAGAGTTCCCAACGCTGGGCAGTTCTTACTCAAAAGTAGAAGCCACAACTGTACGCCTCTTCCGCTTCCAAACCGTCTGGTCCAAGGTCGTGGCAGCATTTCAAGGAGTCTTCGTCCTGTTTACACTTTACTTCGTCTTCAGAGAGCGTAAGTATGATATGTGATATATTGACCATTCTTACCTGGTTTATATTTGTCATCGCAATATATAATAAAAGATATGAGGAATGGTGCAAAAAAATTCTGCACATTTTGCGCACAAGGTACCAGCTTAGCCGAACTTGATATAGTCAGGCTATTTTTTTTCCTTTTAAACAACCTCCATGCTCCCCATCAATGGTCTTTAGCCGAGTTCACATGCTGGTTCAAAGTTCTGTGCAACACTGATAGTCTTGAATAATATAAATTTAAGCCTAACTAAAATATCTTTATAGCATAGAGTAAAATTGTGACTTATTCCAAAGAAGTTGCATCGATGTTATCTACATACTGTCAAGAATAATTGAAGTAAATTGCGTCTAGTAAAGTAGGATATCGGAATATTACGGAGAAGCCACAGGTCCTCACTAGGTGGCAAGGTGGTCTTGTGGTAAGGGTTGTTGACTCAGATTCCGAAGGTTCTGAGTTCGAGTCCCTGGCAGGTCCTGGTATTGTGTCCTTGTAAAAAGCACTTGGCACGACTTTCCTCACTCAACTCAGGTGTAAAGGAGCACCTATAGCTTCTTTTAGGGGCATCTCTTGTTTAAGTAGAGCCACGCCTGGAGTATGTTAAAGATCCCACCACACTTGTCGAAAAGAGTAGGGGCCTTTCCCGGTGTGTGTGGTTTAAACCTTACAGTCTGGTTTTAGGTTTGACATCTTGAAAAGGAGATAGTCACATGTTATGTCAATCCTTCCACAAATGCGGCAAATCATAAATCACAACTTTTGACATCTTGTTCATCTTGTCAGTTTCCAGGATCATGTTGATGGGTTTTGAGTACTTCAAGATGTTCTGGAACTGTTTGGAGCTGTGCTTAGCGCTCCTGTCTCTGGCGGAGATCGGGATCCTCCTGTACACGCTGTATCTTATCCTGGGGTTCAACACACCGCAAAGGAATACAGAAGGTTTTAAGACGTTATCTCACCTACAGGGCACTGTACCAATTTCTATCTCTACAGTGCCTACGGCACCAAAATAGGGTAGTGTGCCGTAAACGGCCACGGTAGCGAGTGTTTGGCTCAGGACCAAGGTTCGAATCCTACCATGTCGCCGATCTTGTGTCCTTGGGAAAGGCACTTTACACGACTTTTCCCACTTCACTCAGATTAAAATGAGTAGTACCTAGTTTCGGTTAGGGACGTCCCTCGGATAGGACCTTAAATGGAAGTCCCGTGTTTGGGAAGAGCCACACCCCACGCGTGTTATCGAAACCTTACCAACACACTTATCGAAATGAGTAGAGGTCCTTCCCGGTGTGAGTGGTTCAAACCTTACAGTCCGGTCTTTCCGGTCAGCTTGTACGTACAAGTACAAAACAGGTGTTTGACGACTAAAAAGGTGGTTTACCGGTTATGCAAAGTACAATAGCTCCGTTAGTTACCGGAATACAACATGCAATGCTTCAGTAACTCAAAATTTCCATCCTGTGCAGCTACTCGAAACAGTTACGAGAAGTATCGCCAGGCGGCGCTGTGGGACCAGATCAACACGTACGTGCTAGGCTGGCTGGTCTGTGTGGCGACTCTGAAGCTGCTGCATCTGTTTCGGTTCAACAAGCACATCGTTCGGGGTGCAGGTGCGCACTTTTGTACATCTCACTGTGGTTGTTGTATTCAGAACCGTGTTTCATCCAAAACCATGCTCAGAATCGGTCCGTTCTGGATAGTCCACGCGTATCCAGAACCTAGCATGGGCCCCTCAGAAGATCTACGTTCTTGCATGCATCAAGACTAGCCCATTCAGGCATAGAACTGGATAGGCACGGTTTTGGATACAACAGTGGTTTTACATTTTTCAATGAGAGCCTGTTGTTTGTCACGGTGGTCTGTCACTACGGTATTCTTTCCCATTGCTAGGGGGATTCGAAAACGTATCAGGTTACAAGACGCAAGTTTGGCCTGTTTTAAACTACCCGTAAACCACTTGAAGATAAACAAATAGTATTGGAGGGTAAATTCCGTTAAAATAAAATGAAATCATCGTGTTTACATAGATTTAATGCTAGTTCTTTACGTTAAATTACTAATTTAAAAAAATCTCGCTCCGAAAGACGATTTTTTTCGGGATTTGGAGCGCCAGTCCGAGACAGTCCGAGTCAAGTTTTTAGGCAAACATCGTTTAAGATTGGCTACGTATATTACCCAAAATCCCCGATTATTATATTTTTCGACGACTAGGATCAAAAATCGTGTCTTAGGAATTTTTTAATTTCTGATTTCAAGTATAGTTTTTGTCGACATAAATGTGAAAAAAACGGCATTTTTTGACATTTTTCGCACTCAATTGCTCATAATTCAAAATCAAGGTCCTTTTTCGAAAATCCCTAAGACACGATTCAGGACAAACCCGTTACGGTCATTTTGAGCCGTCAATGAGATATGTTGGACTCTCCATGTTTCCAATCTTAAACGAGTTTTGCACGCATGTTATACGGCATGAATATGACTAGTGTTTATTTAGGCTGATGAGTACGATCTTCAAGGTCACCCACAATAACGGCAGTAGCTTCGTTTCATGTTCCAGCCCACTACAAAATGAAGGCAGAGATGTAGTTGTCCAGGAAATGGTTTATATTTGTTAAAAGGTGGATTTTTTTCTGTTAGGAGGTACACATGTAAAAAGGGGCCGGAAGATCCATGTTTACTGTAAATGACCGCGGGTGACCCCATTTCGAACACCGTTCTATTCGAATTACGTCAGATCGAACATGATTCGGGTTCTACTGCAGGTGGGGAGATCGGGGCCCAATTTTGACCACCGTGTGTGTGTTACGCCAAAGGAAAATAGACTTGTATGTCCAATACTGATATACTGATGATACTCAGAATCAATCATTTGTAATATCAATGGAAGGACCAAAGTATGTATTGGTCCACGCACACTCATTACAAGTTTTATAAAAGTGTCTTCTTGAGAACACGTTTTCCTTAGCTTCGTAGAGCAGCTAAGGCTTTCTTACGATGAATGCATATTAGGCTAAAAAATAAATCAATGTAAATACCTAATGTGTTTTTAGTAAAATTTTGAACTTTATTCCAACACAAGGGTTACACAGAGATCAAATTATCAACGATCATTGTCGCCTTCATCAGGATAATTTATGACCAATCACTTCAAAACGTAATCTCGCGAGAATTACGGTTAAAGACACGTGACCTTATTCACACGAGACTTTACGGATACGTGACGTCAGCAATTCATCAAACGTGCCAGGAAGTTTATATCGTCCACCGTCTCTGTTAAGTGATGTCTGAAGTGACCTGATATATGTTTGTTTGTTTGTTTGTTTATTGAGATCTCCATTAGTATGGTAGGTAAACTCCATACTATTCTTCCTGGAGTCCAGCAACATAAAGTAAGATAACAATAATAATAATAATAACTAGAAAGGCCAATATTTGCTTTGGAGCAAATACAGCGATGGGTTCACCACATTTTACCACATGGCAGGGAAAGAATGAGAAACACAAGGGAAAACAATGATTCACATTGATATAACTATAATATGAAGTAAAATACAACTAAAACAACAGTTGGATAGCTATTCCCTACTTTATTGGTTAGGATTTTTAATTGCATAATGCAAACTGTTGATTTTCAAAATAAAAAAAAAACGTCCATGCCCGGCATTCCAATGCTGGAGCAGGAAAGCTTGAAATACCTACCAAAACACTTGAATACAGACATACTGTCAGTATGGAAATGCTTCTGTGCAGGTGTTAATCAAGTTAAATCCCAACAGCCAATCAGCAAGAAGTATAGAGGAAAGCTGCATGCCTATTGGTTGATGCCCTGCATTCCATTGTGATGACTCATGCCCAAACGTGGTAAACAAGGCAAACTAACACAGTAATACATTTGCTATAACACAGCCAAAAAACTCAAATAAAACCATTCTAAAAGCCTGTATCACAAAAATTTAAAAAACGCCTAGGGGTATTTTCCCACTGTACCTCCATACCAAATTTCAGGACCTTAGGCCCTAAAATGAAGAAGCTGAATCCATTTAAAAAATGGCAGGAGGAGAAGGAGGAGAAGAAGAAGAAGAAACATCAGAAAAAGCAATATGGTTTCACCACACCACTTCGTGGTGTGGTGAACCCATAATAATAACGGTAATTACTCTATCAATAATGATAATAAATAAAACATACAAATTATGCTGAATGTTATGACAAACTTGAAACAAACCAGCATTGGAGATTAGAGGTCAAGTAATAGAAATAATATGTCTGAAATGAAAGTAACAACTTATGTAGTTTCCACTCAATACAAAACTGGCCTCCTTAATGCCTCATTATCCTGATGAAGGCGACAGTGGTCGTTGAAAATTTGATCAATGTGTAACCCTTGTGTTGGAATAACGTTCAACATTTTACCATGATTAGTACCAACACAGATGGACTTTCATGATAATATTGTGTTTTTCTTTTTTTTTCTGACTTTTGAGCAGATACCATGAAAAAGGCTTCGGGTCCGCTGTCTGGGTTCGGCATCATGTTTGGCATCATGTTTTGCTCCTTCACAATGCTGTTCTACCTCGTCGTCGGCACCAAGTTGGAAGGCTTCGCGACCTTTCCCAGTGCTCTACAGACCATCTTGGTGATCATACAGAGCGCGTCTAGCTACTATGTGATAGCAGAAGCGAGCAGTGTGCTGGGCCCTCTGGCCTACTTCGCGCTGCTCGGCCTGTTCCAGTGGGTCATGCTCCTCATGTTCGTCGCCATCTTGGACGAGGCTTACCACGAAGCCATGGCCGAGCAAAAAGGCGGGAAGACGGAAAACGAGAAAGTCGCTGACATGATGATCCAGCGGGTTAAAACAGCCGCCCTTACGGTAGTATCGTGTGGAAGGAGGGAAAACAGGATGAAAACATACGAAGTTCGCCGTAGACCGACAGAACAAGAGTTGCTTGACATATTTAATGGACCCGAGTTGATCAGGATGGTGGAAGAAAAAGGCAGCAGCACTCAGACCTTCGAATTCGTGCTAAAGGACAACCCCCCTCTGGGAGAAACTAACGATTACGACTTTCTGGATGCTGGAGACAGTGCAAGAAACCAAACCAGCTCTCAGATGCCTGGCTACAACCTTGAGCTGTTGTCTGAGGAGGAAATAGCTGATGTATTTGCGGGGTTCAGGAGTCCTGAGGCTGCAGCAGTCTGAGGACCCACATGGCGCTCCTGTCGTGGAGTTTTTGTTCTGAATTTCCTCAAAGTATGATGTTCAAGATGAGCATCATTTTCTGATAACGCCATACCGACTTAATTCTCTGGATGGCATCCTCGGAAGACCCCCAAACTAATGCGCGCGGGCAAAAATTAAAAAAAAAATTCCGGCCCAAAGTAAAAATCCTAGTAAACCACAGGAATACAAAATAGTTATTGTTAATTTGCGGTAGTATTTAGCGATGCATACGACAAGCCGGCACATACAAGCATTTTGCGGAATTTATGAATCGGCACTGTATACGTATGTATGTACTGAGTTCTTGAGTCTTGGAGCTTCCGTAGCCTGGGTGCCTGACTCCGTATTATCGCTAGCTACCATGACAATGTAGAGCCTAGAGCCAGGCCACAGCCTCTGGCACATTATTTCTACCACCCATTAGAGGCACTATATATATATCTGAACTATGAACTATTACTTTCTGAACTATAAGGAGAGAAGTTTAAAGTGTTACTTGTATGGTTCTATGGTACAAGTAAATACCATTTGCTATACACTACTGACAATAAATCATGTAACAACTAGAAGTCAGAGATCTCAGAGCTCCATGAAATATCTAGATTTTGTGTAATGGTGACTGTGTCCTCATTCAATGATGGTGTCTACAAGGTCATGTATAATGATGGTGTTTATCAAGGTCATGTATAAAAAGTAACACCCGTAAAATGTTTTATTTTTATTTTTCAGTCACGCAAACAGCAAAAACGTAATCATGCCATTATATTTGAAGACGAATATCATTTTCTGATGACATGCCCCACATACGACGAAGAGAGACGCATATTAATGCAGATGATCCGATGTAAGGCTACTAAAACATTACCTAACACATCTAGAGAGACGTTCCATGTACTTATGTCATGTCCAGACACATTTTCTGTATATATAGGTCAATACATTTATAATGCCATGCAAAAAAGACATCTTAGAATAGCTGCATAAGTAGAGTTACTGAATTTTTTTATCAACTACATGTATATAGTGTAGCGTTTCATAGCATTTATAGCATTCATAGCATTTATATGTAGAACATTCCTGGCAAGTAACTTAGTATACACTCTGTTTAGTAGCCATAGAACATGTTTAGTATAATCAGGTACAACTGCTCACTGTACACTTCATGTGTATAGTTTAGCGTAATGTAGAATGTACATGTAGAGTCGAAATATTCTCTAGCCAGTAGTTCTTTATAATACTCTGTCAGATACAATGTCCGTTGACCATATATATAGCATTATGTTAGACACATACCAACTAGTAATCTTATTATTTGCCATACATTGTACCCGTGACAATCGTTGTGCAATAAACTTTGACTTGACTTGGCTATGTTTGGTGTGTTGCAGGCGTTTTTATCTGGCTTTGTTTTTTTTACATTAAAAAATCCATTCGCGTTACCCCAAAGGTTGCGCTACCCTGTAGGGGTCCAGGAGTGTTCCTGTGGGTACCCGGGAAATGCTGTTCTCTTCTGTTCATCAGGGATGCAAAAACTGACCAGGTGGGGTTATCACGACTAGTTTACGGATTACGCTTGCCGCCGGGTCCCAGGTTCATTACCGTTAACGTATATTGTTAACGTTAGTAAGTTAACTCTTAACCGTTAACTCTTAACCGTTAACTGTTAATCTTGTCAGGCTAAACCTATTTTACTAGACAGATGTGAACAAGAAAAACACAGACAAAAAAAAATCCCTTAACCATTTTTTAATTTTTTTGGGGGGGGGGGTAGAGTGGGGTAAACATTGTATCATACCCAAATATATCTAAAAGAGATAAATATTGCTTCATATTTTGTTACCTATACAAATATTACCTACTTTATCGAAACTGACCCCAAACTTTGCACCAAGCACGAGTATACCAGAAGCACGAGTGTAGATATGATATACACGTACATGTATTAGTAACTTTACAATAAGACATAAACCACTATGTTATTCAAGGTAATCACAGAACCGGTTTGTCGAAATGTACTAGGCTCTGCATACCAGTACATGGTGACATCCACTAGTTTATCTAGGTTTAACGGGGAGTCTTTGATGAAGATGTTTAGAAAGCCCACCGGTGATTACATGTTGGAATTAAAAAAATAAAAGTAATGTGCCAGAAAAAAGGCGCATCATAAAAGTTCCCCAAAATCCCAGTTATGGAGTCCGCTGAGGCAGCTAATTCTTGTATTATCACCCTTGGTTTATAGATGTTGATAGGGTTAGTCACCCTCTACTAAGTTTGATCGTAAGTACTAGTATTAATATTTGTAGTCCTCCAGGTTGTTTCAGTACAAATATAGAGAGTCCTGTTTTAAGGTTGAGTTAAGTACTAGTATTAATATTTGTAGTCCTCTCGGTTGTTCCAATGAAATATAGAGAGTCCTGTTGAACGGAAATATTTGTAGTCCTCTAGGTTGTTTGAAATGATAATATCGATAGTTAATAATGCACGGTCTCTACTGCGAGCGGAAAGTCCTATAGGTCGATCGGAAATAATGATACACGTTTTGTTTGTCGATGCAAACAACGCTGGACCGAAAGAGATAACGTATTCAAAGTTAGGCCATGTTGTTTTGATTATATGGATGGCATCCGCAAGTCATTGCTAAAATATTGGAAAACGATACTTCTGTCGTAGAATGCTAAAGGAAAAGACAAAAATGTGAAGAAATGAAAATAAGGAGTCTATTAATTGCCGTACCATACCCGGTGTGGTTAGTCATTTGTTCATCCATGGTTCAGCCTTCATATTTATACAGATTTCATAATGAAGAAATTTTAAGCCAATGATGGAGCTAAAAGCAGCATGTCTTAATTTACCACACCGTATGTTTCCTTATAACCCTTTTCCAAGCAGATGTTTGGTGGTATAGCCAATTTCAGTACTCATGCAACGCAGTGAGGGAAACAGTGAAATTGTATCTTATCACAAAAAATGCCAAATATCTTTCATCTGCTTGAAAATATTCACAGACTACTCTGTATGCCCGACATTCCAAAACGAAATGTTCAACTCACTTTGCTGATATGGTGACATTAAGATTCAAGATACAAATTCTTCACGCAGAACCTTAAATCATGTGTGAAGGGTCCGCTTCTTCGTTTACGCGTACATTTGTGGACGTTTGTTTAAGATATGCTTAAAGGTAGGGATTCGTGTAGTGATAGACAGATAGTCCACAACTGTTACCAACATTTTGAAGGGCTATGATCTTTGGTCCACGTTAAAGCCATGTAAAAATATAACACACACTTATAACTAGATATAAGCGAGAATATTATACAGCACGCTATGATAAATTTCATCTAGATATAAATCTGCTTGAAACATGAGAAGTCCGTTAATGTCTGATATCATCAGGATGTAAAACTAAAACTAAATTTGCTTGAAGTCTCTACTGTTTTACTCAATAGCTTGCTTGCATCACTCAATAAGTAAGAGGAGCAGGTGGTAGAACTCACTGCACCTGCGCGAAACTCATGAGAGTTTTCACAGTCTCCTGTTCAAGTTTGAAGAACGTTGCATCAGAATCTTTATCGACACAACATTTGAAAACTACATATTTCATCATTAAGTACATTACCCTGAAAAAGACGCTATTAACAATATGCACTGCGGATTTTGGATAGGCCAAGTACATTCTCCCGACGTGTTAGTAAGAAGTGCAATGGTGATGTTTGCTGCGAAGGCTGGTTGTGTACCAATTGTGACGTGTCCCGTGTACTGGTCACTCACTCCCTCAGAAGTCCCCACATGGTCATCACCAGGGTCATCAGGATGACCGCGGAGGGCTTCATGGTAGACCCTGCGCCCACGGGCTTGATGGTGGTAGACCCTGCCCCTACGGGACCTTCCAACCAAACAGAAAACATGACGTCACACTTCCAAGAAGCCACGTGACTAGCGCCACGGGGTCAGTCTATTGAAGAAGACTTTAATGACTGGTCGAAAACTTTAGGTGAGAACAAGCCTTAAACCTCGTGTTGGAACAAAAGTTAAATTAACTTTAAACATGTAAGTACCAACAAAGATGAACTTTCCTGATAATACCAAAGATTATAGATAATAAAGATAAAGATAATACTACAGAATTAATTTGCTTTATCAGCTGTTAGTACTCAAGCATTCCTAGGTTCTAAGCTCACCAGTATATTTATGTTTAAACCCATATAATGCACAACGGGGACAATGCACAATGAAAGAGCATGAACGCACAATAAAGTAACGTTCTATAGAAAGAGTGGGGGAGACCGAGGCGAGGAAGGGCAACTCACTATCACAGGCCATCCCATTGGCATTCAGCACATAGCCGGCTCCACAAGAGCAGGTAAAGCTTCCCACAGTGTCCGTGCAGTTTCCTGCGCATCCTCCGTTGTTTGTGGTGCACTCATCCACATCTGCAACAAAACAGATCAACTTAACTTTGCTTTAATAGAGAGACATTGGGAAGGAGAGGAAATACAAGTCATTACCATAACTTGAACGTTCTGAAACAACAAGTGTTTCACTAATTTGCATCATCCTTATCTTGACTTGAAAAGATACACCACGAGTGCGAAGCCAATGTTGGCTAAACTCCTCAATGGACTGTAAAATTGGACTGTTATGATCTGTTCAACGGCAGCCTTCCCTATAAAGACTCCAATAACGCTGTTTTTCTTGTAATTGTACTGATCTCCAACCACCACGTTACATATGTAGTATTGTTAATGACGTTGATATTTGAACTTTGTATATAGATGTTTAATAATATATACTTTTTTAAATGATTTTACTGTACTTTATGATTGTCAACTTCGGCGCAATTCAGCTATTGCTGCAATGCCGATTTGTTATTTGTTTATCAATAAACCATTTACTACTACTTGTCTAACTCTTGTTTGTTTTTGAACTTCCAAAAATTTGTCCTCACTAATTCGTATATCAATAAATAGTTCGTGCTTATAAACCTGCAACGTCTGACCGTTTCCAAAAGCATATCTAGTTGCTTGAATAACTGTTTTTGGCGTATCTAATTACTTGAATGTCTAACCTTTATCGAGGTACCTATTTTTGATTTTAATTTCCATCATAAGACCTTGAAATGTTACAAAGAAATTGTTGGAAAGGGCTGGAGTTGCACAGTCAAACATTTGAGTAAGTCCCATTTCGTGTTGGAAATTACAGTTCAAATTTGTGTCATAAAGACAGCAATACTCTCAAAACGTTTGTACCGCCATGATATCCTATCATATTTGACAACGCCATAGAGCTAACAGACAATGACGATAAAACAATATGACGCTGCTAACCGTATCCGCTTTGGCCTTGATCGCCAGTAACATCATCGTTGACTTTTGCAAGAGCATACAACCTTGCGACATTTGTGTCAGCTCAAACCACCTGATAGCATTTTAACAAACATTGATTAAATTTTTTGGGGAAAAAAGGAAGGGACAGAGGAAACACAACTCACTATCACAGGCCAGCCCATCGGCATTCAGCACATAGCCGGCTCCACAAGAGCAGTTAAAACTTCCCACAGTGTCCGTACAGTTTCCTGCGCATCCTCCGTTGTTTGTGGCGCATTCATTCACATCTGCAACAAAACAAATTTACTTTACTTACTTTATTTGCTTTATTAGAGAGACGGAGGGAAGGAGAGAAAATACAAGTCATTACCATAACTTGAACGTTCTGAAACAACAAGTGTTTCACTAATTTACATCGTCCTTATTTTGACTTGTCTAACTTTTGTTTCTTTTTGGACTTCCAAAAATGTGTCCTCAATATGCATATCAATACATTCTTCGTGCTTATAAAGTTGTAATTCTCCTAGTGTCATGGACGAAAGGTAGTTGGTGCTACCTTAAACGTCTGACCGTTTCCAAAAGAATATCTAGTTGCTTGAATAAATGTTTTGGCGTATCTAATTACTTGAATGTCTAATCTTTATCGAGGTACCTACTTTTCATTTTCATTTTCATCATAATACCTTGCAATGTTACATAGAAGTTGTTGGAAATGGCTGGAGTTACACAGTCAAAAATTTGGGTAAGTCCCATTTCGTGTTGGAAATTACAGTTCAAATTTGTTTCATAAAGGGAGCATCATTCTTCCAACGTTTGGACCGCCATGATATCCTATCATATTTAACAACGCCATAGAGCTAACAGACAATGACGATAAAACAATATGACGCTGCTAACCGTATCCGCTTTGGCCTTGATCGCCAGTAACATCGTTGACATTTGCAAGAGCATACAACCTTGCGACATTTGTTTCAGCTCAAACCACCTGATAGCATTTTAACGAACATTGATTAATTTTTTGGGGGAAAAAAGGAAGGGACAGAGGAAGGACAACTCACTATCACAGGCCAGCCCATCGGCATTCAGCACATAGCCGGCTCCACAAGAGCAGTTAAAACTCCCCACGGTGTCCGTGCAGTTTCCTGCGCATCCTCCGTTGTTTGTGGCGCACTCATCCACATCTGCAACAAAACAAAATTTACTTTACTTACTTTATTTGCTTAACCAGAGAGACGGAGGAAAGGAGAGAAACAACAAGTAATCGTCATAACTTGAACGTTCTGAAACAACAGGAGATTCACTAATTTGCATCATCCTTATGGTACATTTCTAACTGTTGTTTGCTTTTGGACTTCCAAAAATGTTTCTTCACTTATTTGTTTATCAATAAATAGTTCGTGCTAATAAACCTGCAATTCTCCTGCTTTCCCTTAGTGTCCCTAACAAAAGGTAGTTGGTGCTACCTGAGACGTCTGAAAATCATATCCAGTTGCTTGAGTAACTGTTTTTGGTTATCTTGTCACCTGGATGTCTAACCTTCATCGAGGTAGTAGGTTTAAATTTAATTTTCATCACAAGAACTTGCAACGTTACATAGAAGTGGCCGAAAAGGGCTGGAGTTGCACAGTCGAAAGTTTGGGTAAGTCCGGTTTCGTGTTAGAAATTACAGTTCAAATTTCTTTCCTAAATACAACATCACTCTTACAACGTTTGTACCGCCATGACATCCTATCATATTTGACAACACCATACAGCTAAAAGCCCATGACGATAAAAGGATAAGACGCCCCAACCCGTATCCGCTTTGGCCTTGAACCCCAGTAACATCATCGTTTTCATTTGCAAGAGCATACAACCTTGCAACATTTGTGTCTGCCCAGACCACCTAATGGCATTTGAACGAACAATATAGTAACGTTGTTCTACAAATTCTGGGGAAAAGTGGGAGAGACAGAGGCGAGTAAGGGCAACTCACTATCACAGGCCAGCCCATCGGCATTCAGCACATAGCCGGCTCCACAAGAGCAGATAAAACTTCCCACGGTGTCCGTGCAGTTTCCTGCGCATCCTCCGTTGTTTGTTGCGCACTCATTCACTGCAACAAAAGAGATTCTGAGCAGTTCTGATTTCAAGACTAATATCTTAGCATTAAAAGTTTACCAACAGTCTGTTGACAACAGAAATTAATAAAACATTAAGCTTTTTACTCACCTTGTGAGAAGCCAAAAGAACTACTATAACTGCCATACCTGAAAAACAAATACCACTTCTTATCCAGCATGTTAATATTGGGAACACTAAAATTTATACACTATGTATTGCTATAGTATCTTGCTACGAAGAAAATTGATCGGCTTTCTATGAACAGTTTGTAAGGACCACACGTTACTAACGCTCTAGTGGTGACTCCGTTCTGGGTGGAAGCTTGGTACGACGGTTGCCCCGGGAGTTTGTACCCCGTAACTACTCCGCCAGTGGTCGGGATTCTGCCGTCATGGATAGCAGCCTTACAGACACGGGAGTCCTTGTAGAGGAAGAGACAGCAACATAGAGGAATAATTGATCTACATGTATTGATAATATTGTAAGTAGGGACCACCGTAGCCGTTACAAAAATCGTTGATCACACTTACAGATGTGTAAATGCCAGTACCCCAGACAGATCCTCCAGTCAGACAGCCACCAGGGCAGACCACTCTGTGGTGGGGAAGGGAACAGATAAACTAGGGTTCCAGACGAGAAGATGTTGTTTTTACACTAACATTTAATACAAATATTAATATGTCGCACGGGTCATAACAGTGCCATCAAAATAGTGGAAGGATGCTTTTGAAACTGTCCCATTCTTATATTTTATTGTTATCGTAGCTTATTATTATTATTATTCTGATGCTCAACTAAATTCTCGATCAGGAAGAAGTGAAATACAGTACTGTTGGCTTACGTAAATGTTTGTCCGGTGATCTCCGTAGAATCTGTGGTGCAGGTGATTTGTGCTGAAAGGAAAATGTAGATCCTCTATGGATACGCCAGAACTGTCATTCGAAAGTCTTATCTTCAAAAAACTAGGCTGTTGTCCTGTTTTGCATAAATTTTATTACTTAGCTTCAAACACTACCTATCATAATTACACAACGTAGAACTGAGAACAGCTCCTGTTAAATACACGGGGTGTGGTTTTCCGGAATTTAGATATTTTTATGCTCTTCAATGTCACAAGATCAAATTTGTTTAATAAATACAACATCAATCTTAAAACGTTTATACCGCCTTGATATCCTATCATATTTGACAACGCCATACAACTAATAGCCCATAACGATAAATCGATAAGACGCCCGAACCCGTTTCGGCGTTGGTCTTGATCGCCAGTAGCATCATCGTTGACATTTGCAAGAGCATACATATATAGCAACCTTGCAACATTTGTGTCTGCTCAGACCACTCAATGACCTTTGAACGAAAAATATTTTGGGGGAAAATGGCAGGGACAGAGAAAGGACAACTCACTAATGACACTATCACAGGCCAGCCCATCGGCATTCAGCACATAGCCGGCTCCACAAGAGCAGTTAAAACTTCCCACAGTGTCCGTGCAGTTTCCTGCGCATCCTCCGTTGTTTGTGGCGCACTCATCCACATCTGCAACAAAACAAAATTTACTTTGCTTACTTTATTTGCTTTACCAGAGAGACGGAGGGAAGGAGACAAAAACAAGTAATCATCATGACTTGAACGTTCTGAAACAACAGGAGATTCACGTATTTGCATCATCCTTATGGTAACATGTCTAACTGTTGTTTGCTTTCGGACTTCCAAAATTTTTTCTTCACTGATGTGTATATCAATAAATAGTTCGTGCTAATAAACCTGCAATTCTCCTGCTTTCCCTTAGTGTCACTAACAAAAGGTAGTTGGTGCTACCTGAGACGTCTAAAAATCATATCCAGTTGCTTGAGTAACTGTTTTTGGTTATCTTATCACCTGGATGTCTAACCTTCATCGAGGTAGTAAGTTTAAATTTAATTTTCATCACAAGAACTTGCAACGTTACATAGAAGTGGTCAAAAAGGGCTGGAGTTGCACAGTCGAAAGTTCGTGTAAGTCCCGTTTCGTGTTGGAAATTACAGTTCAAATTTTTGTTTATAAATACAACATCACTCTCACAACGTTTGTACCGCCATGATATCCTATCATATTTCACAACGCCATACAGCTGACAACCTAGACGATATAACGATAAGATGTCGGTATCCGTATCCGCTTTGTCCATGATCGCCAGTAACATCATCGTTTTCATTTGCAAGAGCATACAACCTTGCAACATTTGTGTCTGCCCAGACTACTTAATGGCATTTAAACGAAGAGTAAAGTAACGTTCTTTCAAGAAATGTAAGAAAACAGGGGGAGAGACAGCAGCGAGGAAGGGCAACTCACTATCACAGGCCAGCCCATCAGCATTCAGCACATAGCCGGCTCCACAGGAGCAGTTAAAACTTCCCACAGTGTCCGTGCAGTTTCCTGCGCATCCTCCGTTGTTTGTGGCGCACTCATCCACATCTGCAGCAGAACAGATCAACTTAACTTACTTTATTTGCTTTAACAGAGAGACGGAGGGAAGGAGAGAAATAACAAGTAATCATCATAACTTGAACGTTCTGAAACAACAGGAGATTCACTAATTTCCATCATCCTTATCTTCACTTGTCTAACTTGTGAAGCACTCATTCATATCTGTAGCAAAGTTGATTAACTTTACTTACTTTATTTGCATTAACGAAGGGAGGGACGGAGGGAGGGAGGAAAGAAGAGAGAGAAAACAACTCACCATTATAACCTAAACGTTTACTGAGCTGGTAGCAAGTCTGTACTATAATCTCCGACACAAGAACTTGGAATGTTACACAAAAGTGGTTGAGAAAGACTCGAGTTTATACACAGTCGAAAATTTGGACCTATTTCGTGTTGGAAATTACAGTTCAAATTTGTTTCATAAAGACAACATCATTCGTACAACGTTTGTACAGCCATGATATCCTAGCATATTTGGCAATGCCATACAGCTATAAGCCCATGACGATAAAAGGATAAGACGCCCCAACAGGTATCCGCTTTGGCCCTGATCGCCAGTAACATCATCGCTGACATTTGCAACGGCATAGGACTTTAGGACATTTGTGTCTGCCCAGACCACCTAATGGCATTTAAACGAACAATAAAGTACCGTTGTTCTACGAATTTTTGGAGAAAAAAAATCGAAGAGACAAAGTCGAGGAAGGGCAACTCACTATCACAGGCCAGCCCATCGGCATTCAGCACATAGCCGGCTCCACAAGAGCAGATAAAACTTCCCGCGGTGTCCGTGCAGTTTCCTGCGCATCCTCCGTTGTTTGTTGCGCACTCATTCACTGCAACAAAAGAGATTCTGAGCAGTTCTGATTTCAAGACTAATATCTAAGCATTAAAAGTTTAACAACTGTCTGTAGACAACAGAAACTAGTAAAACATTAAGCTTTTTACTTACCTTGTGAGAAGCCAAAAGAACTACTATAACTGCCATACCTGAAAAACAAATACCACTTCTTATGTAGCATGTTAATATTGGGAACCCTAAAGATATAAATGGAAACCATTTATACACTATGTATTGCTATAGTATCTTGCTATGAAGCAAATTGATCGGCTGTCTATGAACAGTTTGTAAAGACCACACGTTACTAACGCTCTAGTGGTGACTCCGTTCTGGGTGGAAGCTTGGTACGACGGTTGCCCCGGGAGTTTGTAGCCCGTAACTACTCCGCCAGTGGTCGGGATTCTGCCGTCATGGATAGCAGCCTTACAGACACGGGAGTCCTTGTAGAGGAAGAGACAAAAACATGAAGGAATAATTGATCTACTTGTATTGATAATATTGTAAGTGGAAACCACCGTAACCGTTACAAACAGCGTTGATCACACTTACAGATGTGTAAATGCCAGTACCCCAGACAGATCCTCCAGCAGTCAGACAGCCACCAGGGCAGACCACTCTGTGGTGGGGAAGGGAACAGATAAACTAGGGTTCCAGACGCGAAGATGTTGTTTTTACACTAACATTAATAAAAATATTAATATGTCGCACGGGTCATAACAGTGCCATCAAAATAGTGGACGGATGTTTTTAAAACTGTCCCATTCTTATATTTTATTGTTATCGTAGCTTATTATTATTCTGATGCTCAACTAAATTCTCGATGAGGAAGAAGTAAAATACAGTACTGTTGGCTTACGTAAATGTTTCTCCAGTGATCTGCGTAGAAATTGTGTTGCAGGTGATTTGTGCTGAAAGGAAAAGGTAGATCCTCTATTGATACGCTAGAACTGTCATTCGGAAGTCTTATCTTGATATAGTAGGCTGTTGTCCTTTTTTGCATAAATTTTATTACTTAGTTACCAACACTACCAATCAGGAGATGAACACAGTAAAACTGAGACCTGCTCCTGTGAAATACACGGGCTGTGATATTCCAGAATCTAGATATTTTTATGCTCTTAAATATCACAAGCAAGATCTTTTGCTCCTGTGAAATACACGTTTGATTTGTTAATATCCAGTCATCACATCAATGGCTTATTAAAATGTTTATGACGCACTCATTCATATCTGCAACAAAAGAGATTCTGAGCAGTTCTGATTCCAAGACTAATATCTAAGCATTAAAACTTTACCGAAAGTCTGTTGCCAACAGAAATGAGTAAAACATTAAGCATTTTACTTACCTCGTGAGACGGAAAAAGAACTACCATAACTGCCATACCTGAAAAACAAATACCACTTCTTATCTACTAGATATAAATGGAAACCATTTATGCACTATGAAGTATCTTGCTACGAAGCAAACTGATCGGCTTTCTATGAACAGTTTGTAAGGACCACACGTTACTAACGCTCTAGTGGTGACTCCGTTCTAGGTGGAAGCTTGGTACGACGATTGACCCGAGAGTTTGTTGACCGTGAACATTCCGCCAGTGGTCGGGATCATGCCGGCATGGATAGCAGCCTTACAGACACGGGAGTCCTTGTAGAGGAAGAGACAAAAAACATGAAGGGAATAAATTGGGTCTACCATGTATTAATAATATTGTAAGTGGGAACCACCGTAACCGTTACAAAAATCGTTGATCACACTTACGGATGTGTAATTGCCAGTACCCCAGACAGATCCTCCAGCAGTCAGACAGCCACCAGGGCAGACCACTCTGTGGTGGGGAAGGGAACAGATAAACTAAGGTTCCAGACGCGAAGATGTTGTTTTTACACTAACATTAATAAAATATTGATATGTCGCACGGGTCATAACAGTGCCATCAAAATAGTGGACTGATATTTTTTAAACTGTCCCATTCTCATATTACATCGTTATCAAGGCCTATTATTCTGATGCTCAACTAAATTTTTCAGGAAGAAGTGAACCCTTGGCTGTTGGCTTACGTATTTGTTTGTCCAGTGATCTGCGTAGAAATTGTGCTGCAGGTTATTTGTTCTGGAGTGACTGAAAGGAAAAAAGTAGATCATCAATTGTTACGTTAGAACTGTCATTCGAAATTCTTATCTTAACAAAGTAGGCTGTTGTCCTTGTTTTGCATAAATCATATTAGTTACACCGCCACAAACACTACCAATAATGACATACACACCGTAAAACTCGAGAACAGCTCCTGTGAAATACACGGGCTGTCATTTTCCAGAATCTAGATATTTTTATGCACTTACATGTAAATGTCACAAGCAAGACATTTTGCTACTGTGAAATACACGCTTAATTTGTTAATATACAATCATCATATAAAATGCGTACAGAAGATGAATAACTGGGTAAGTCTAGTTTAATGATGGAAATTACAGTTTGAAATTGTTTCTCCAAGACGTTTGTACCGCATATTTGACAACGCCTAATCTGTGGCGTATATATAACTACCGGTACCTCGCCATACAACTACGAGGCAATGGCTATGAAATGGTAAAACGTCTTTACCCGCTTTGGTCGTCTTCACCAGGAGCAGCAAGGCCAGAGTGAAACAGGCCACCTTTTTGCGGTGATTCATGCTGTTTACCTGCAGGAAAACAAAACGTTACAAGTTGAGACTTTCGCAAGGACCTCTAGCGCACAACATTAAAAAGAAAGAAAAAGAAAGAAAGAAAGTACATGCATCTGATAAAGATTTATCAGTTTTACTGCAACAGTTCAGACATACTGGTTAAAATGTAGCAGTTTTTTATTGCAAGAGTTGAGGCGTATTGGTAAAAACATAGGTGCTCGAAAAGTGCGCCACTTCTATGCCTGTGTTTCTTCTCTATCTTGAATGAATTCTAAAAAAATGGGCCCAACACAGACGAACATTCACAAATCTTAGACTGACAGTGGAAGTCAGTCGAATGATTTGTCTTATTTCTACCTATTTGCAGCCCGCAGAAGATTCTGGAACAAGCTTCCCACGTATGTCGGTCCTGAGGACGCTTTATCTATTCAGAGATCACTTTGGCCTTCTTCATATGAAACCACCAGACCGCGATTCTGGTAACTCACATTCCTCATATCTGGTCCACGTGTCATACATTCCTTTTAAACCGTGCCCGATTACGATTCTCCGAAACTGCATTCATTGGTATTTGATGAAAACACGCAAGGTGGTGTGTTATTAATGTCAGAGGTCAACGACCTGCTTGCTGGTGCCCCCCTCCCAGCGTATCTCGGCCGAATGCCGACGTGGTCCCGCCAGAGGTAGTGAAGCTTGTCCTAGAACGGACACATTATTTGACCATTACTGCACTTTAAGTTGCTGCCACGTAAATTTGGTATTGCATATAAATAAAGAAATATCATCCCGTAATCCATGACCAGGTGAAGTCACATTGAAATCACATTGCGTTCAGACGCAAATCGCGATGCGGGAAAACCAGTTCGAAACCACCTCTCAAAAGCCGTGTTTATGTGAAGTCATCCAAGGCTCTTTACATGTGGTTTACCCCGAAGCCGTTTTCAAGTGGCTCCATCTGAACGCTCCAAATCACATTGAAAGCGCCTCGATCCAAATCCACTTCTAGAGGTGGTTTCGAATCGGTTTTCCCGCATCGCGATTTGCGTCTGAACGCAATGTGATTTCACTTGGTCATGGATTACGGGGTGATATTTCTTAATTTATATGCAATACAAAATTTTACGTGTCAGCAACTTAAAGAGTAGTAATGGTCAAATAATGTGTCAGTTCTGGCGGGACCACGTCGGCATTCGGCCGAGATACGCTGGGAGGGGGGCACCAGCAAGCAGGTCGTTGACCTCTGACAATAATGACACGCTACCTAGCGTGTTTTCATCAAACAACAATGAATGTAGTTTCGGAGAATCGTGATCGGGCACGTTTTAAAAGGAACGTATGGCACGTGGACCAGATGTGAGGAGTGTGAGTTACCAGAATCACGGTTTGGGTGACTTCACATAAATACGGCCAAAGTGGTTTGGGATCCAGGCGCTTTCAATGTGATTTAAAGCGTTCAGATGGGGCCACTTGAAACCGGCTTCGGGGAAAACCACATGTAAAGCGTCTTCACTGACTTCATATGAACAGGGCCTAAATGGTTTCTTTCGTTGCCTCTGGGGTTGTTTTACACCCAGCACTCATTAGCGCAAAGGGGAAAATGTAGTGTTTCCAGTTCCAGCCCTCAGATAATTATGGTAGGTAGGTACAGATTATCTTCAGGCTTTTCACATTGTGGCCGAAGGATTGAACAAATACGGTTTAACAATGACAAAGCGACATTCTTCTGGACTAAGGCTGTCTCCACCTGTATGTTGGGAAGGGACAAGTACTCACCTGATTTACTCAATGAATATTTCCTTCAGATATCTGAAAATACGTGAAATATAGCGTCGTAGAGGGTTGTACATTCAGATGTCAGATCGAAAATCTAGCCTCAGTCGGTAAACCGCAACATTTTCCCTAGGTGTTGGCAACTTATATCAAAGTTGGCCATGCAAGGTTATTCATGTCTTCATTGCGTGTAGGTTCGATGAGAAAACACAATCCACTCTGACTTTAAGGCGATAAGGTCCTGTGGCTAGAGTTCTTAAAGGTTCTGGGTTTAAACCTTTAGCAGGACCCCAGTTTTGTACCCTTGTGAAATGCACTTTATGCCCTTTTCCTCACAAAATTAGTAACTAGCTTCGGCTAGGGACGTCCTCGCGGATGGGGCTCATAGTAGGTGGTCCCGTGTTTGGGGAAAGCCTTACCTCGAACATGCTAGAGAATCACATCCGATGGTATCGTCCATCGAGAATGGTTCCGTCCACTCTAACTATGCTCACATAAACTCCATTCGACATGTTTTTCTTAAATTATGTTCTTAATCATGCACTCATATCATCATAGCTTAATTATGAAAAAATCAAAACGCTCAATGACGCTCATTATTCAACCTATGAACTAAAATCCTTGCATAAATTTTCATACATCTTCCAATACACTTCTCACATTGTTGTTGTTTATAAGGCGAAGGACGATCCCAGTAATTGTTTAGTCACTCAAAAGTTTATTCTGAGCGCGCGAATCTTTGTCGTATAGTTTACAGGGTTCGAAATTAACAGCTCCACCTTATTTCTTGTGGCGCTACTCATTGACAAACTCAGATATAGCAATGTGTTGTCTGTTTTCGCTGGAGAAGATCGCATCCCTTGTGCGAATGGCCTGAAGCAGGCCGGCGGCAACCCTGTCAAGCGTGACTCACAGATAGTCTCCACCAGACTTCTTTTGCGGAGTAAATAAATCGTAGAAATCGGTCTAAAAAGGGTATTAATTGGCCAGAGAAGGTAGCCGGCCAGAGAAGCTTCTTGGCGGGGAGCTAGAGCTTCTCTGGCCGGCTACCTTTTTAGGCCGATTTCTACTATTTATTCACCCCGCAAAAGAAGTTTATTTGTTTATTTGAAGGATCTCCATTAGTGAGTATAAGCATACGCTTATACTCACTATTCTTCCTGGAGTCTTAAAAACAACATTACAAACTTATAACACAGACGTACATACAGTTGCTTGGTGGAGACTAACTCACAGAGGTTTAGCAGCCTTTGTTGCATCCAGAAAGTGCTCCTATATATCCAGGGTACGCTCTGAAGCACTTCATGGATATCCATGACACGTCGCAAGAGTGCACGTCCTGGATATCCAGAAATTGCTTCAATTGAGCACACCTTTGATAAACAAGGGCGTTTACTCTATCCAGAAATCGCTTTAGATCTATTGTTTGCTAGCGACGATGCGAATGGAGCTCATAGTGACTTGCATTCGATATATCATTCCCCATTAAACATTCTGGGACAGTTACATATGCAACGTGTGCACAACGAAGTGTCTTTGCATATCTTTGCATAGATTTGTTAGGCCACACCAATTTAATTTCTTGGTTAGCGGATTCGCATTTTTTTTATTTGAAAATAAAAATTCAGAATCAACTGCAAAATGCTCATATTTTGCCGTGAACAGTTGAAAACAGTCCTTTTCATACTTCTTGTTAAAGTCATTCCATCTTTGAATGCAATGGTATTATTAAAAGTTCAAAATTTTGAACCAGCCTGGCGTGTTGACTTCATGGCTCCTATCGTACCATTTTGGGCCGTAATAGGATGCCTAGGCCTGTTTTTATTCTTATTTTTTTCGCCCGCCCGCTCCATTATTATTTGTAGAAAAATCCGTTAACCAAGAAATTAAATTGGTGTGGCCTTATTAAGAACCAGCAGCTGAGTTAATTTTACAGTGACTAACCCTGCGCGGGGAGAACAAATAAGGAAGCGTAGGTGTAAATAATTCCTGCTTATGGTCCTGTCAATCACCATGATTGACTGCAACATGGTACCGATCAGCGTACATGACGTAACATGAAGAGGCACATCTTGGATATCCAGGAGTGTCGCCGATCGTTGACAAGGCTGGATAGAGCATGTTCTGGATACACAAGCCTTTATGCCGGCAACTCTTTGCGGGTGTTTGATTGGCAAAAGTGTTCGTACCGACTGAGATTAAAATTATGTCTTCATTGAATGATAAAGGCCGAGATTGTAAAGATGTAGTTGAGCCGCACTTTAAAGCGATATTATGTACGATTTGTCATTATTTTAAACATCGTTTTTTTTACACAGAAGAACAACTTTATTGCACAACAGATGTAGCGGGTACAACGTATGGCAAAATGATACATACATAGTTTGTGGTGTTAACATACACATATGGTGGTGTTGAGAATATCTAACAGTTCTACTAACTGTAATAGGAATCTGGTCTGCTTCATAAACAATGTATAAAAAAAGAGAGACACTAATTATACTAATCTAACTCTATTAATACAATGTAGTAATAAATTGTGTCATGAATTAATTACGTTTTCTCGTTTTGTCATGGAATTGTGTACAAATTGGCCTACATAAGAGGAAATGTTGACAGGGCATGATAGTAACATATAGAACATCTCTGTCTTTGTATGGGGTAGTGTTATATTGGTCTTACATGTAATATGTTGTAACAAATTTTTGTCGGTTTTCATCATAGATTGGGCAATCTATTATAAAACGTAATTCGTTTTCAACGCCTTTATGACACGTGGGACATGTTCTTGCGTTATAAGCCTAACTGGAATAATGACTTTTTTGGGGTGGGGGGAGGGTAAAAGGTGTTGTCTTTTAGGATCCTCCTAAAAATATAGCGTGACTGGCACAACTTATTCTCGCTCTGAGCTGAGTCGCCGGAAAGCAGAAATCGTAATATTGCTTCGTGAAGATGTAGTTAAGAGGCACTTCAAGCACGTTATGTTAAAGAAATACTGACCAAAGTTGTTCAGTAGCATTACCATACGCACGGGGCGACATCTGGACGCAGTTTCTGTATAAAATAGCCAAAAAACACCCCGATTTGTTTGATTTTCTCCTTTTTTTGTGTGCGCTAGGTACAAGTGAATAAAGAATGGGTACATACCGCCTTAGTGTGGAGCAGCTAGGGAAACCAACTGGGTTGAAGCAAAGTTCAAAATTCTGGAGTAAAAGGCCATACGTCCACACCCTGTGTGTACGCCTACATTTGTGCGAATTACGAAACGATCAGTCAGGCAAAGACCGCCCACTTACACAAGAGTTCTAGCTGTGTTACGAAACGAAAGATGTAGCCTCTGGTTACCCAGGTTACCCCCATTATCCCATCATTTCTCGCCCCAGGTAATCAGCTGGATAATCTAACGTTACATCATCTGGCAGAAACTTTTTCAAATCTCAGCCTGAGTTTCTGCCTTTGGATCGTGCAAAAGCGGAAAACAACTTAAAATGAAACAAAAAAACGTGCTTTATTGAAACTGCAACATATAAAGTATTCCATCGTGACATCGGCGTCACCAGTTCTGTAGTACTTCCACTGTAGGGGCAACACAAATGCCTCTGTTACAGACACCACTCGACTTAATTACAGGCGGCTGAAAGTAACCCAACCGGTGACATATGAAACCAGGTAGTGCAGGAAATGGAAACATCGCACTGATTCATGTGAATAGAACCACTAATCAAAC